GCCAAATGTTACTTCTCCCACATAACACAGGCAACATCCACACGACAAACAAGGTACATGTGCATCTGCGAAACAAGCGCATCATCAGAGACACTTTTCAGAGCCGCTGGAAATATTATAACTCCGGGGACGGGGAGGGGGTGTGATATCGCTGCAAACCGGCAACTTATTAACGGTGTTGAGCTGCTGTACCACGACGGCCCTATGCAGATCTAGTCAAAAGTACTGAAAATCTGATACTAATCAATGCTAAAATGGATATCGAAACTAGATGCTGATGTGAGTAGGTATCGATACTAAAAAAAAGTCCCACAGCATGAGCCTTTCCTGAATGTCTTTAGAATGATCCTGAGCTGTAGCAAAACAAGTACAAGATCACATAGACTAGAGTACACCCATGGACCAGTATGGAACCACACACTGTTTACAGAAGTGAACAAACCCTAAACACAAACAGTGCAGCTTTCTCTGTCGTGTATATTTTACAGAAATTAGCTCGTTAGTATTTGTTATAGCAGTAATAGCACTGCTCCGCCCCTCTGCCTCTGCCTGGATTTGAATACGACCCTGGGGACTAAATAATTGCCCACCCGTGGCCCCAGTCAGCGGGGAATGAATTCTTAGAAGACAATCAAAAGAGACACCAAAATAGCCTGGGCTAAAAATACAGTATAATGTGATCTAAGGCGAGCAAATAACCGAAAAAAAAAAAAAAAAAAGATCCAATTCCTGCCAATTTCCCATCAGCCTGTGGTAATTTCATCATCAAAATCAATCCAAATGTGCTTATGGGGTACATTTAAAACAGCTCAGGTCTTCAGCAACGACAAGCGGAACAAAATAAGCAGCATTTTCAAGAGAATAGACCATAAAAATAAAACACAAAGTCAAGTTATTGCTGTCTGCCTAAGGTCACATACGTGTTTAGAGAAGATTCTAATCAATACTAAAACTAGTACTAGAACTAGATATTAAAAAAGCCCCATTGACAGGATGGAAATGAAGCTTTCCAAAATGTCTTTAGTGTGTAAAAATATTGAAATACAGATATATCGTATCGTTTAATGTGATGATACCAAGAATGTAACAATAATCGAAATATCGTGATATCGTATTGTCAAAGTTCTCACAATAATATCGTGGACCATCACAACATATCGAATTACAAGTGTCTTTGCTTAAATGAAGAGTTATGGTGCAGCAATAGAAATAAAAAAAATAAAAACAGAGGGAACTACATAGACCATGATCCTTGAAGAAGAAATAACTTTTAAATATTAGTTCTTTGGATTAAGTCTTTTCAAGGCATTTTAAGAGGAAAAAGTCGTATATTAACAGTTTTGTTTACATCAGGGGTGTCAAACTCATTTTGGTCCGGGGGCCATATCCAACCTAATTTGATCCCAAAGGGGCCGATCAGAAAACTCATGTCATATAAACCCAAAATAACAATAATTTCAAATATTTGTGCAGAGAAACGCAAATCTATTACAGAAATCTTTTTTAATTGATGAACTCTTTCTTTTACAAAATATTACAATATTATGAACAACCTGAAACTTTAAGAAAAATACAATTTCAACACAATGTTTTAACATGAACTTGTATGTAAATAGGAATAAGTCAATTTTCTTGTAAAATCCTGCACTCGGCTCCACTTTTCTCATGTTGGACATTTTTCTGATGAGGGTGTCACGGTCAACAGTCAAAACGATCGTCCTTTAAGAGCGTTTGGAAAGAGACAAGTCTTCATTTGTGCTGCTCTGGTGGGAGGGGCCACGTACAGAGACGCTGTGATAAACACCACAGAAAATTAACAAGATTTTAAGAGAAAATATAATTAAAGTATTTTAGTAAAAAAATCAGCCGAGGGCCAGATTAAAGGTCTTGGAGGGCCGGATCCAGCCCCTGGGCCGTATGTTTGACACCCCTGATTTACAGCCTCCACAAAATATCGTACTGTGAGATGTATATCGTGAAAATGTCATACTGAGAGATTTGGATATTGTTACATCCCTAATCGTGAGCCTCCCCAACATATCGTGAGCTTTCCAACGATATCGCAATAAATATCGTACCCTGAGGTTCATACTGTGACGATATCGTATCGTGAGACTTGGATATCGTTACACTCCTAGCTGATACAGTATAAATATCGTGGGCTGCTGTATCGATATATATTTCGATTATCAAGAGTATTTTTTGGTGTATTTTACTAAACACCATCTCACCTATTTTATCCTCTCTCCATTGGCTCCCAGTGTCTTTTAGAGTCGATTTTAAAATTCTTTTATTTACTTTAAGTGTTTGCACGGCCTAGCGCCCTCCTACCTCACTGACCTGATCCACACTTACGGCCCATCTTCCCTCTCGCACTCTCAGCTCCAGCTCGTCGTCCCAAAAACTAAACGTAAGCTTCGTGCGTTTTCTGTTGCTGCCCCTCGGCTCTGCAACCAGTTGCCATTAGAGATCAGACCGGCAGAGTCTGTACCTGTTCTTAAATCACTCCTAAAAACGCTCCTTTTCTCACTGGCTTTAAACAAGTGACATGTACATTTCTTATTGAGTATCTTACTATTTTCTATGTTTTTAAGTAGTTCTGTTGTGTTTGTACTGTATATTTTTCTTCTGCTGAGATTGTCATTGTCTGTTCTGTGTTTGTGTACAGCTGTAAAGTTTTTAAAGTGCTTTATAAATAAATAAAATTGGTATGGTAAACTATTTTGTTACAGAGCTACATTTTTGTTGCTTGTTTAGAGGAAAGGAACTCGTTCATGCGACACATTTGACATTTTCACTGTTTTGAGTAAAATGGGTGTGATTTAGCCTTTGTTTTTTATGTATCGTATCATATTGAATCAAGTATCGTATCTGCAGCTTCTTAATGATACCCAACCCTAGTGACAGTAATAGTACAAGTATAAACCAAAGCCCTGCAACAAACACGCCCAACCTCAATTAATACTTCAGTAATTCTGCAAAAAGTACAATTAGATTTTACTTGCCCAGGCTAGAATACTAATACACGTTTATAATTATTAAAGAAAAGACCATATAAAACATTTTCCTTTCCTGGAAACACTCATAAAATAATTCTTTCACAGCCCTGACCTTTGGCATGAATGTATTAGAGATAAATTGCTTTTGTTTTTATACAAGCAACGGAATGTAAAGTATGAACTTATCAAAGAGGAAAGTTCAACTCCCAGTGTTATTAAACAATACATGTGTTCATTTGGCTGGATTGTTTGAAATAATGCCCTGATTGTGACAAACAATAGGGCTGTCAAAAGCATCAAAAAACAGAAACAAATCGATACTGAAACTAGTAACATAACTAGATAAACATCTGCTCAGGTATGGATACTGAAAAGTCACATTCAAGGGACAGAAATGAAGCTTTCCTGAATGTCTTCAGAATGATCTTGAGCTGTTTCAGAACAAGTTAAGAGCACATCGACTAGTATACGCCCATGGACCACTGAGGGCATTACACCAGACATGTCAAACTCAGGCCCGGGGACCAAATTTGGCTCATGATATAAATGTATTTGGCCCGCGAGATCAAATCAAATATGTATTAGAGCTGCCCACCGGCTACAGATAGACTATAGAGACATTATTTATTTAAAATGTTGTTATTATTTTATATTTTGCTTGTTCTGGATTCAATCTTTAAGCAAAACTATTATTGAACATTTATTTTAATAAGAAAATATTTAACATTACAGATCTGGAAAGAAGAGAAAACATGCAGATGTTGCGGAAATTTTTCAATAAATATTTAGTTTGGCCCACGACTTAGTCCCAGTTTTTAATTTCGGCCTCTGTGAATTTGAGTTTGACTCCCCTGGACAACAGATATAAGGACACGATTTAATGTTGAAAATCACATTCTGTGGCATAAATAAAGAGCGTTATTCATTGTCAGCATGGTTGGAACTGAGTGTCAAGTTTATTCCTTATCAAAATCCAAGTTTTAGTATTATTATTTAGTATTTTAGTACAACTAGACAACTAGAGCTAGGTACCGGTTATAGAATTTTTGTGTTATGAGACATTCGGTTATTTAAAGTATAAATCTATGTTTAATCATTGTACATTATAAGATTATCAAAATTGCTTTGTATCTTGTTCAAACTGTATGTAACTTAAGAAGTTGCTGATACGATACATACCTCGATACATCGGCCACGATATGATACGTATCTCCAGACATTTATCTTTCATTTCGATATGATTCAATACGATACATTTCAAATCGATCCAGTACGGTTCAATAAGAAATAAAGGCTAAATCACGCCTGTGAGACAAAATGTTTTTGTTAAACCACTTCCTGTGCAAAGTTCATGTGAAACACAAACATTTGAATCATCAAAACTGTGATGTAAACGTTAAATGTTTCCTTCGTCCAAACACACAACAAAACTGCAGCTGTAACAAGATAATTTAGTAAAATATACCAAAAAATACTAACTTTTTTTTGGTGATATATCAATACAGCAGCCCACGATATCGATTGTATCATCACACAAACGATACGATAGGTTGATATTTCAATATTTTTGCACACCCTTATTAACAAATAGACTATATAATCCTGACAGGTACACATTAGACCATGCATTCACGCCCAAAAAGCACAAAATTTGCATTGCAATTATCAATTTGCTAAATAGTCCAACGTGACTCAAGTGTAAACAAACCACCACGTCTTCGTAACCTACGATATGACAACTTGACACCTCTTTTACAACTCCTTTTGACAAATCTGCAGAAAATATGGCAAAATCTAGTTACTGCATTTCCATTTTCACATATGTTTAATACAGATCCAGATGTGGCAGCAGCAAAAGTGACGAGATGTCGCAGGTTCTGACAGTTATTACATAAGAATTATCGAAGTCGAGCAATTTCACCACATTTTCACACAAAACTGGCCTTTGCGCGTGATCAAACTGCGGGTTTTGTCGTGCTGATGCGTCGTGTTTGCTCTTACCTTTACGATATTTGCAGCAGGGAGGGTGTTCGTGCGGCTAAACCCAGGAAGAAGCCGCGGATCTCCAGCCCCAGTCAGTGACGGGCAGGCGGCTGCTGCTGCTACTAGCCGTTAGCATTCAACCTTTATTTTTAGCCTTAGCCGCTCGCTTCATTCGCTCACTTTTTGCGTCCGGAACAGCGGCGTCAACGCGGCGATTTGCGAGGTGCGAGTTTTAAAAAGTGGCGCTGAAAGCCAAAGACGATCGTTCCCGCGGCTCAAAGCGGAGGGCTCCAGTGAAGTGCGGGAGGTACGCGGAGCTGACCCGCCTGCACGCCTCTCTCGCACGGGGAGGGCAAAGCGGAAGTGCCGGAGGTGGCGCGGTTCCGGCCCAGACTTTCAAATTAAAAGCATTTACAATATTATTAAAGGTTGTATAGAAGATTTTCCAATGAAAGAGTAATGCAGCGACTGTTTTTCAAATGTTGCGCTTCGCTCCTCTTCCCCTTCTCTTCTTCTTTCAGCGACGCCATAAACTGACTTTCTTTTGCGGCGAACTGGTTGTTGATTCTTCTCTGCAGTTACAACAAACTTTGTGCAAACTGAGAGGAAGCTACAGTTCGAAAAAGACGCTATAGAACCGCTGTTTTGGTTGAGTAAACAGCATCAGTGCGTGAGAGGCGAACGTAAACCACGTAATCCCAGTGCGCCGGCAAGTCAGTGGCGCTAGAAACGTAGGGAGTTTGATTGACAACCCAACAACCAATAGATAAAGAGGTAGCCTTGTTATCTATTGGCTGATGTTTATCTGCCCCCACCACGTCCACAGCTGATAGATTTTCATCTTTTTTTTTTTTTTGTCATCGTAATTACAAGGCTGCTGCATCTCTATAATTCTATTTTGAACTTTCATCGACAATTTGAAACAAAAAAAAAATCCTATATACAACCTTTAAAGGGATAGTTCAGGATTTTTGACATGAATCTGTATGTCATCCCCGTCAGCAGTGTCGTGCATCCACACTGACTTTACCTCCGAAAGCGTCCGGTGAACCGAGATCCTGGCCGGTTTTGGTGATGAGGAAAGTAGTTCGGCAAGTTGCCTGGGGACATTCTAATAAAGCGTTTTTCTTCTCAAAACAATATGTGTTAAAAAGAGTGATACATTTGCACCACAAAACTTCCGTCCTCTAAAACGTCAGACCTCATAACCACTTGCGCTCCGCTACCTGTTTCACTTTGTTAACTGCTCGGAATGTTAGCAACAACATGTCTGATTACGACACCGATGATGAAGAAATTGATTTTAGCACAGAGGCAATGGGAGATCTTTTTGAACCCGAATATACGTCTGTTACAGGAAAACAGTGAAATTTGTGCGGAGATACAGACAGATTTTTGTTGTTACAGCCCGGAAAATCACAAGTTCGCACCATTTTTTAGATATATAGTTATGTATCTTATACAAGCTTATATACCTATCACGCTAGCTCTGACATTAGCTCTCTCGCGTCGCGGCGGTCACCGGTCTGAACAAGTAAACACTGCCGAACAGCTGAAGAAAATGATTGATCCGTGCGCGGCTGTCACCTGGCGGCGTGATATGTACGGAGAGAAAATAGCGCCAAGTGATTATGAGGTCTGACTTTTTAGAGGACGGAGGTTTTGTGGTGCAAATGTATCACTCTTTTTAACACATATTGTTTTGAGAAGAAAAAAGCTTTATTAGAATGTCCCCAGCCAACTTGCCGAACTACTTTCCTCAGCACCAAAACCGGCCAGGATCTCGGCTCACCGGACGCTTTCGGAGGTAAAGTCAGTGTGGATGCACCACACTGCTGACGGGGATGACATACAGATTCATGTCAAAAAACCTGAACCATCCATTTACGGTTTACGTGCAAAAAAAAAAGCTGAAAAATACGGTGACCAGACGTTCCTATTTACCCTGGGACAGTCCCAGTTTTAAGCCCTGTGCCTCTTGTCCCAGCAGATTTATACAAAACCACTGATTTGTTCTAGTTTTATACAAGAAATGTCCCACGTGTCCCTATTTTTGACCAGTCTGATCCCTGCCAATAGTAAAGAAAGGCATAGATTGTAATTTGCTTAAGTGAAATACAAAAAAGCAGCTTAAAAATTAACAAAACACACAAGAAAATGTCATGAATGGTCTCTGCATAATAATTTTCCTTAATTTCGTTTCACAATTTTATTATTACCAACCACCAAAAAACAGGGGATGTCACAGTTTTTTTTGTTTTTTTTGTTTTTTTGTTTTTTTAAATTCTGGTCACCCTAGTGAAGAAGCAAATATCTTTTCTTTTCTTTCTTTTAATTTATTTTATTTTTTGTTTATTTTATTTTATTGATTTTATTTTATTCTTTATTTTATTTATTTATTTTTTAAATGTAGTTTTAAATTTAATTTAATTTTATTTTTTATTTGATTTTATTGATTTTTTTTATTAGATTTTTTTTATTTAGTTCAATTTATTTATTTATTTATTATATTTATTTATTTCATTTATTTTATTTTATTTTTTGTATTGGTTTTATTTTCTTTTTTGTTTTTTCTCTTTCCTCTTTTTCTTAGATTTTTTTCCCCTTTGTTTTATTTATTTATGTATTTATTGTCCATTCATGAACAACAGCACAAAGTAGGACACAGTTGAGAATGTACCAGAGTATTGCAAATTGTCGATGTATTGCCTGTAGCTCGGCCGATGATGTACGTCCATTCATTTGGGATTAGGACAGACACCAAATCACTGGCTTTATGACGTCATGTGGCTCAGTGCCCGAGCTGCAGCACATATGCAAACTAACTGTCCTTCCCCAGCACATTTCTGTATTTAGCAAACTTGTAGAGCAGGAATTGTAAATATAGGAGTGCACCAATAGGCCTTTGTGTGTATTAGTGAGCCCCAAAAAAGACTCTACGTAATAAAAGACCTTTATTTTTTTATCCTGTGTGCCTTAAGTGATCTTATTGCACGTTAAATAAGTTACATGATTTGATTCTTATTGTGTCATTTTACTACAAAAGTCTGACATATGGTTTACACTGAATGTCTATAATATAAAGAAACTTCATTTGGATTTACGGGACCTTTTGTGCTAAACTTAATTATTTCTGAAGCCCTACTCACCGTCCAGGGCCAGTAAAACTTGCTGTGACAAACTGGCATTTGATAACAAAAACAGAAACTACAGAAATTTTGTTACTTTTCTTTGTTATTTTTATTGTTCTTTTTGTTTATTTGTACGTTTTCTTTGTGTTTTGGTGTTTGTTATTAATTTTTCCCAGTTCTGCAGCATGTAAACTGCAATTTAAAACAAAACTTTGTCGTAATGGGCTTTTATTTTGAAGGGCCCATTTTAATTTCTAAGCATAAATTAAGGTAACTTGATGCTGCTGTCCCGACGTATATTTACTTGACATCAGTTCAGTAGATTTCTTTCGGTATGTTATCTTGAATATTTTTATTTTATTTATTTATTTATTTTTGTATCAGCGAATAATGCGTATTAAAATATTTTGTTCTTCACCTCAAAATCAGTCTCGCTAAAAAAAGAAAACGAAACTGCCTTTGGAAACGTGTTGAAGACGCCACATCCCGCACGCGCTAGTGAACAGCGACATCTAGCGGCGAGAGGCGGTTTTGCTTTTATGACTTGTTAAAAATGGACCAAGGACATTCTGGAACATCATGCTACTCTCCGTCTCAGAACAGAGGTGGGCCCGGGCCTTCAAATATTAATGCAAAGGTTTGTCGCATTGCAAAGCTCGTGTAATTTCCGCACAGCGCACACGAGCTAAATTATGCAAGTTATACGCCACAATTCATCGTCTGTATAAAATAAATCAGCACATTTTCTTTCTTGCTGTGTTAACAACATTTGTGGGGACCCCTGCGATGCTTCTGAGGCCCCCGAGTGGTCCCCGGATTATACTTTTTTATTTATTTTATTTATTTTTTAAGTCCTGTTTTAGCAGGTTACTTTAAAATGAATCATATTTGTGTCTATCAAGTAAAAGAGGCTTCTTCTGTTCTGCGATCTGCACTTTATTGTTAATATTGATTGATTATTTTATGTCAAACATGCAGAACAAAAAGAGATGTCTGCTTTTTTCAGTTTACATGTCTTATAAGAAGTGTTGGGAAGGTGACTTTTAAAATGTTTTCCCCTAAAGATTACAGATCACATGCTCCAGAATGTAGTTTGTAACGTAATCCATTAAATTACTTAAAGTGAGTAACGTAATCTGAATACTTTGGATTACTTGATTATTGACTTGAAAGACGAGGATATCGTAACGTAAGATGTTTTGTCTGCTAAAAGAAAATAAAAAACCCAGTCTTTACTAAACCGTATTAAATATATTATTGATAGAAGACGAGGAGACACGTCCGCCCAGCATGGTTTAATCCTGGTTTAGCCATGGTTTAGACCTGTTTTTAGACCTGGTTTAAATCTAGTTTAGACCTGGTTTTAGTCCTGGTTTAGTCCTGATTTAGTCCTGGTTTTAGACCTGTTTTAGACCTGGTTTAGATCTAGTTTAGATCTAGTTTAGACCTGGTTTAGTTTCCGGCAATGAGAGGAATTACCGAAAAAAAAAAAAAAGTTGGATATAGCCCAATATGTTAAAACAGGAAAATACCGCCGTGTAATCCATGTATTTCAATAAAGTAACTGTAATCCAATTACTACTCACTGGAAACAGTAACTGTAACTGAATACAGTTACTCATAATTTGTACTCTGATTACGTAACTCCGGTACATGTAATCTGTTACTCCCCAACACTGGTTATAAGTAAGTAAGAAAGTAAGTAAGCCTTTATTTATACAGCACTTTCCACAGATAAAAATCACTAAGTGTTTTACAAAGTGCAATAAACAATAGAAACAAGAACAGGAACTACAAAGTCAACTGTCTAAAAAGTCATGTCTTGAGCTGTTTTTTTTAAAGTGTCTATAGAGTCTGCCTCACGTAGAACCAGGGGCAGGACATCCCGTAATTTAGGAGCCACAGCCTGAAAGCTCACATCACCCCGAGTTTTAAATCGGGTCTTTGGGACCAACAAGAGGCCCTGACCAGAGGACCGGAGGGTGTGACCTGAGCTGTAGCGTCGCAATAAGTCAATGATGTACTGGAGCGCCAGTCCATGTAAAGCTCTGTGAATTAAAACCAAGATTTTAAAATCAACACGGACCTTAACAGGAGCCAGTGCAGTGAAGATAAAATTGGTGGAATGTGTGTTCGCCTGTTTGCTCCTACAGGCTAATAAAAGAAATGAAATTAAAAAGCGAACACGCATTTTAATTAATT